GTGTGTGTGTGTGGTGTGTGCGTGTGTCGTGTGTGCCGTGTGTGCGTGTGTGCGTATTGCGTATGTGCTATGTGCGTATGTGCGTATGTGCGTATGTGTGTATTTTGTGTAGGTGTGTAATGTGTGTATGTGTGTAGTGTGTATGTGTGTATGTGTGTATGTGTGTGTATGGTGTGTGTGTAAATTGTGTTGTGTGTGTGGTGTGTGTGTGGGTGTGTGTGTGTGTATGTGTGTGTGTGTGTATGTGTGTGTGTGTGTATAAATGTATGTGGTATGTATGTATGTATGTATGTATGTATGTATGTATGTATGTATGTATGTATGGATGTATGTATGTTGTATGTATGTATGTATGTATGTATGTATGTATGTATGTATGTATGTATGTATGTATGTATGTATGTATGTATGTACTACATGTATGTATGTATGTATGTATGTATGTATGTATGTCTAAGTATGTATGTATGTATGTATGTATGATGTGTATGTATGTAGTATAGTATGTATGTATGTATGTATGATGTATGTATGTATTATGTATGTATGTATGTATGTATGTATGAGTATGTATGTATGTATGTATGTTTTATCTGATTGTGTCTGTGTGTCATGTGTGTCTGTGTGTCCTGTGTGTCGTGCATCTGTGTGTCTGTGTGTGTATGTGTGTGTGTATGTATGTGTGTGTGTTTGTATGCGTGATGTGTATGTCTGTGGCGTATGTGTGTGTATGTATGTGTGTATGTGTGTGTATGTATGTGTGATGTATGTGTGCTGTCTGTGTCGTATGTGTGTATGTAGTGTAAGTCTGTATATATGTCGTGTATGTGTGAATGTGTCGTGTGTATGTGTGGTATTATAATGTGTGGTATGTGTGAGATCTGGCATCCAGACGTGAATTGTGTACATTTTAGGATTGCATTGTAGAACCTTATGGGTTAGCTGATTGGGAAAAAACCGTCGACCGATTGATACAATCGCTACCGACATTGAAACATTACGCATCCATCGATCAATCCATCCATTTATGTAAAACAAAACACACAGAAAATCGACCACGTTCAACCTACTGCGAGCAGTATCGGTTATAATTGTGGTCTGGTTTCTTTGTGCCAATTATGTTGGCTAAATAATGTCAATTACACTAAAACTAGTAGCTTGGAGGGGCACTCTAGCACACAGTGAGGGCTGTGGGGGAGGGGGCCATATATATATATACACACACCCACACACACACACACAACATACATGTCTGCAGGCCCATGTGTAAATGCACGCATACTCGTTTGCATACACACACATGGATATATATACACACATGCGCACACGCATAAGCGGGAATCCATGTACACGTGTTTGCTAACACACATACACGTATTCAATGAGTTTGCTAAGCGGCAAATGATTAATTTCATCCTTATTCCTAGTTTATGCTACCAGTGCCAAACATGGACAATGAAAAGGGCACTAAAACATAAAATAACTACATGTGAAATGTGCTATCTCCGTCAGGTCACTAACAACCCTCGAAGGGACAGGGTTACAAATACGGGCAAGAGAGAGCAAGTTGGAAATGTATGAACAGACAAAGAACGAGATGTTTCGGTCGTTTGATGAGAATGCAGCAAGACTAAACTGCATAAGGAATTTTTTTTTAAACAGCAGAACATCTGGAAGAAAAGCAATTAGAAGACCGAGAAAAAGATGGATACATAGTGTGGCTGAAACCTGCCAAAAGGATGCAGAAATCCATCACCCAAGCCACCAGAGAAACGCAAAGCAAATACAAAAAACCATGACACTGGTCTACAACCTTGTATCATTGGGATGATACAAGAAGGAAGAAGAAGACATTTGATTAAGTAAAAATGCAACAAAACCTACAGAGCATCCATATCAGAAAAGAAAGATCCAGCTGGAAATTCAGAAGGCATTGAACTTGCTCAACTGACCATTCACCTCTTTATATCTGTCACCACCTTTATAAGAAAAGGGTGGAAAGGAGATACAATGTCTGCCTAATGTACCAGTGACACGAAAAGAGTCCTTTACTTTTGTAATACTGTTTGCCACTTGAAGTGACCCAGTGATAGCCCCAACAATTGTCAAAAGTTTCTACAATCTGTTGCAAACGTCGTGGCCTCAAAGTGTAACAAATATCTCGAAATCTCTGTGTACGGACCAACATGAGTTTTTGCATGTGGTCTTAGATTTCAAATGACCTTATGATTTACAACTGCACAGTTACTGCTGTTTTCTTACAGTGGCGAATTTATTTGATCTGTGTATAATATCTTATGCAACCCTTCCCAGCTCCCTCCACCCGAAAAAAAAAACACACACACACACATGGCAATTGATACAAATCATGCACTAACCCCCCCCCCCCCCCCAATCAATAAACATTATGGCAGTACATGACGTATCAACTTCACCATTTAAAATAAGTCTGTATTAGGTTCTCCCACTGATTACATCCAAAGCTCCTGCAGTCTAATGTTTTGCCAACTTCGCTTCAAGTCATTTACTGTAAACATGCTAATTGTATGCTTTGAAACGGCGTCTGCCTTCTCCCCACCCCTTTCCCACACACTACAATAAGGCCAAAAATAAACTAAATATTTTTACGTTTGAATTATTTTTCTACAAAGACATAGTTATTAACAGGTTGCTTGACAAATTTCAACAATTTACTCGAACAGTTACTGAGTTACAGAGTTTTAAGTTCAGCACACTTTTAGAACCGGCTATAGCTTTAAATTTATGTTGCTCGGGTCCTTTAGCTAGATAAATTAACCTGTAAAACAATGATTTATGGGCCAGTAATCTAAAGGGAAAAAAAATGTTCTGCCATAAGATTTCAAACATTCATATATGACAAAACAGAATACACATATTTTTTTTTAAGAAGTAAAAACGAACAAAGAATAAAAAGTAATTTTTATTGCTTTTATTTGGACATTTGCTAAATTAGTTTACAACAAAAGATAATTACAGATCATTTGAATTAACCCACACTATAGTGAGATATTACCTGTGTGTGTTTTTTTTTATTTGTTTTTTTATTTGACTGTTTAATGTCTAATCATCTTGTTTTTCTGAAGGAAGTATGATTTGTTAGCGTTAAAAAATTAACATCGGGTTAATTTATCAGTGGGATGAATAGAGACAAACAGTCACTGACAACTCAGTCGCTGCTTAAATATATTCTCATTAAGGTACACAGCCAATCTACTTAGTCACAAAGTAATGAATAAATGTAGATAGGCTTGATAAACAAAAAAATGGCTGTGTGTTGTGTATGAGAAAGAGAGAAAGAGGGTGATGGATTTAGAGAGAGAGAGAGAGAGAGAGAGAGAGAGAGAGAGAGAGAGAGAGAGAGAGAGAGAGAGAGAGAGAGAAGATGGAAAAGGAGATTTTATATACAAATAAAATATGGTCCTATCATTTAGAGCCGTTGAGAAGTAAGACCTAGTCCACAACATATAAAGGAGTGTGATCATTGTTTTCCCCACCTGAATCATTATGAAAAGCATCTGTAACAAATATTTATGAGGCTGTTAATATTAGACCATCACTTCAATGAAGTAACTTGAACGGGTGAAGAATTCGACCTTAGAGCCGTTCTGAGTCGAAAATCTTATCTGGCTTATCCGGGGATTAAAAATTCCGACTAGTGTCTAAGCAGGTGAGTGAACTAACTAATTGTACCTCCCTCAAAACTGCACATATTTATTCTACTCCGACTATACTGGATGGCATTGTAATAAATATCAGCGTATGATATTAGATTTAACATCAAGCTTTTTATTTCAGCCAGCATTCGTGGCATCTTATATAATCTGAACACCGCGGAGAACTGACTCATAAACAGCATGCTGTGTCCCGAAAGCTGGGATGTTTTGGCATTGATAAACGGCACAGTGTGCTGGGGAAAACAGTGACACGAAAAAAAGTGGAAGGGGGGATTTCTGGGTGGGGGGGGGGGGAATTGTGGGGAGAAGCAGAGGCGGACATCCGCAAATATCCGGTGGATATAAGAAAAAGAAGAATACATTGACTGTGAAAGCACACACGGCTGGGGAATTGACTAGAGACAGAGATACTTTCAGGTATGCTGTGAAAAGAGTGGCGCTCTGTGAAGAGCCTACTAAATGAAGATTTTTCGTGTTTCACTAGCTGGTTTATAAATACATTTCTAAAGAGTTCATATCGTTGATCTTTGCTGCATGTCTGACACTCTCATAACGAGTTAGAAACAAAATGTACTTGTATAAGTTAACAAAAGTATCTCCTTCGACAATCTACGCAGTTAGGTCTGGCTGGTTCTTAGTGTATTTGAATACCTTCTGCTGGAAGAGGTCAGCTAGATAGAAGTCTTGTCCATCCTTAGACGTACACAGATCGTGGATGGCAGATGGTCCATCCCTTTCGATTTCCTGACCATGTTAAAGAGATTTACATTACACATTATAATGATGTTTCAAAACATAAATTACCTCATTGTACAACATTAAGTTTTACAGTACTCAGTCTGACGCAGCTGACAGGGTCAGCTGATCTGCATAATAATTGTTGCTAAAACAAACACGTTGCGTACTGCCAATAAAGAATTATTTGTGCAGTTGAAACGTAAGTGTGAGTTTACAAGATATGGAAGATATCTCTGCGAAGGTTGACTTAGCTTGTATCTATTCGATAGCAAAGTGAATCTTGTAAACTAACCCATCAAATAAAGAGAAGTATACAAAGGAACTCCTCTTCTTCATCATGGCCGTGGTCATCTTCTTCTTCTCCTTTTCCTCCTAACTTCTTAGTTGTTCTTCTTCCTCCTTCTCTTCTCCTTAACCTCCTCCTACTTACACCCCCCTAATTCTTTCTTCTTACTGTTATTCTGCGTTGGCCCTTAAAAAAGCAGTTCCCACCTTGTGTTGAGGTCTAGAGTAAGGCTGCGACATCTGCACATTTTGACCTAGTACACCGAACTGAGTTAAATCTGAATTAATAACCTTTTACGGCATGCTTGCTATGGGGCAGCGAATCTACACCCACCAGACTTTTCCAAATGGAGTCCTATAACCTACACTAAGAGCATCTACGACTCATTCTAATTTAGACAATTTCTGTAGATACACATCTGTGAAAGTGTGTATACATTTTGTATGTGTGTGCGGACCTTACGTATATTGTGAATACAATCCTGAATATGATACCACTTACCGGTGTAATATATGCCCAGGCATTCTTTTGCTGACCGTCCAGACTGTAGGTGAAAGCCCGAGGTGGGAAAACTACCTCATCGTCGTCACTCCTGAACGGCTCCTCGGCTATTCCGGCAGCAATTACCAGTTCCTGATCTGTGTATGTGTACAAGGATAGATGCGTTGATAACAGTAATGCGTACGCAACCAAAATTAAGCCCTGCCTCAATATATATATATATATATATAGTGGTCACTTTGGTAGTGCACTGGCTAGACGGCTAGTGATCCTGTATTTGAATCCTCACCATGTTGGGGATTTTCATAACGAATTAGGCTAAGACTGCCGCCAGCCTAGCCTAAAATGGGTTCCAGAACATGCTCCTGAAGCCGACTGGCCACCATGCCTATTGCATCACTCACCGAATGCTGTTTTGTCTATAAAATCATGGAGCTAGCATCAAATTCTCAACAGGTGTCCAGATATGGAAAAGTCTCTGTACCTGTACCATGTTGAACATACCATACCAAATGGTGACAAGGTTGTCATTTTAGAGCAAGAACAGGCTTCTGGCAGCTTCTGATTTGTGTGTGTGTGTGTGTTGTTGTTGCTCCACCCCCCCCCCTTTCTTTTTTTTTTCCAAACACGACAGATAAACTCAATCATAGCAACAGAAAGATACTCAGTGTTAGTATGACACAATTTGCAACCTAAAAATAGTCAGCTCAAATGATTATAGAGATTCAGAACTGCTGCCTATGAAAGAAAATAAACAAGTGTACTTTGAAACAGGATCGTTCAGAACTTTAAAAATTGCGTTTGCATTCGTCAGGTCTATCATCTACGTGAAGTGATGGAATGTGAACCTCGCTTAAACAAGAGCCACACAGCAGGGTTGCCATATTGGCATTTTTGATGCCAAATTCTACAAATTTGGCATATTTGAAATTGAACTGGCATAAGATAATGAACTGGCATATTTTGGCATATTTGGGTTTTTCCTGGCTTTTCGTATCAAGACGTGCTCAAATTTTCTTCATGGTTCCTCCGTGAGAAACACACAGATTTACAAAAAAGCAATGTAGGCCTACAGTTAACATCTTTATTTAAGTTTGACTTTGTTGTGATGTCCTGCTACAGACTAACGGAGATACGCGCCATTTCTTATTGCATGATATGTTGTTGTCTTCCTAAACGGATCGTGACTGCGATAAATCAAGACCCTCTGTAATTTATGATAATTTACTAGAAACCAAAACCCGCCACTGATATCAAGTGATTCAGACTGTTGGGAACAAAAAAATAGAGAGGATATAGACCTAGTTCTATCTGTGAAAGATTTTATTACTTTTACCAATGGCAACGTCATCCCCCAAAAAATAGAAAGCATCTTATGATATCGCAAGTATAATAGTAATTTGATGAAAACATACCACAGGCTCAAAGATCTTAAACGGATCAGACGCAGCATATTGCAAACTACGTCAGTGCACTGTTGCACCAAAAATAAGTAGCATATCAAATCATCACAAATCCGAAAAACACAGGATGACAACTCCGTCAAAAAGCCAGTCACAGCTTTTTACAACAGTGACTCCTAGGCAAATTAATGATAAAGTTAAAGGCAGCAGAGTTGCAACTTGCTGTAGGCATGACCTGCCATTGTGCAATATGCACAATTGATCATCTAAGTGAAATCATGAGAGCACATGGTCAGGGGGGTACATTGGAGCACATACAGTTAGTTGCATATAACTAAACGTTCATGCCTAATTTAAAAAAAAAAATACTTGTAAATGTGACCCTGATTTCCCCCATTTACACACCGCTACACACTAGCTCGCTTCTGATTGGACGACCTACTGACCACGTCACATTCTGATAGGTTGGCCTCAAGCGATCCGACTTTCAAACAAGGTCACAGGGATATTCCGAACTCGCGCTCATACCGCGTGTTGTATATTTTACCATACCAGAGCTTTTAACACTTCTAAAACATTTAAATGCTGGGTCTAACACACGATCCCCCTAGATAGTGACAAAATCTATGTCCCAGGCCGTCTCATTCTTCGAAATAAAAACGTAAATGTCAGACAACAACAGACTGCGACACCCATAACCTCGACAGTGGTAGATTAGTCCGACCACCTTATCAGCGGAGTTGACCTATAACCGGTGGTGTGTAAATGGGGAGACCATCGTATAAATAACCAAAATCGATCTTATTGATGATTTTCGGAACAAGAACTATGCCATCATTATAGATGAGTTGCAAAGACTTCATCCCATCTAAGAAAATGCTTAAAGATTTTACATCCGAAAAGGAACACTCTGTATCATCCGCTAAGCTCTCATCAGCCCGCCCCTAAACGCATTGGTGAAAAGTTTATCAAAACTTATTAGAAACATGAATAAAGTCTGTTTGCCAAATGTTCAACAAAAATGACAACCCTCGGTTAAAAGTGTGTGAAGTGAAGAGAACATTGTGCTGCTGAGATTCAACCCTTGACCAAGAGATTTACCCGCAGCTCAGACGAGTAACATTTCCTGTGGGTGGCGTCTCGCAGCAAGATTCTACCAATGTAATCCTCTGACAACTCTCAGTGTCGTCGTCACCGCGCTGAGGTACACCACGACAGCAACAGTCTAACGGCTGGCTAAGCCCAAGTGTCCGACAAAAATAGACTCACGGCACGTGAGGAATCTCAAAATCCACCATCATAAACCGTATTCAATGGAAACAGTCCAGATGTCCGTATCCAGAGACCCCACTCGCCCGAGTGTTGGGACCAAACAGATAAAGATATGCCAGATGCAGGATGCTCCATTCTGTCGTGCTAACGGCTCGTTAAAGATGTCTAACGTGCGACGAAAAAGAATTCACCTATTCGTGTGGCCACAAAAGTCCAGAAACCGCGGGCTGCTCCTCGCCTGTTTCCGGAGGGCGCAGCCCGTGTTGAGCGGGAGGCCTAATAGGGTTGTGAGGTTAAGCAGGCATGTGCAGGACGTGACGATTCCTTGGGTGTGTCGGCTCTACATTAATGGAAGCCTCTTTGGATGGCGGGCGATGCCCATGATGTGCCCCTGCCTTCCCTTGAGGGCTAACCGTTCCAAAGGGGATACTCCGGGGGCAACATCTGCAGTAAAGGCGACAAAGAGGACACCACACAAATCAGGCAACATCTCGACCCACACAGAACAATGGCCACAGTCAACTTTGAAATAGATCTGACGTTTTTCCGCGAGGGAGGGAACGGTAAGAGCCAGTAAAAGAGGTTGTACACGCAAAACTCAGGTCCAGGTAAAAGCCAAAAGTCCAAGCGGACGATTAACCGGGACCTTCCGCAGAAATTCACAGCCGGTGAACGAAAAAGAAGAAAAGGGCATCTGTCTGAAAGACAAGGAACCAAAAGTCTGAGTATGAGGCATCTGTAGAATTGATAAGCATGTAACGTCCAGTTCTGCAACTAGAGTGGATGAACAACCAGAACTTTCCAACGGAATTTACAGCCCGTGAACACTAAGATAAGAAATATATCAGTAATAGTGCAATGATATATTGAAAACAAAACATGGAGCCCTTTTGGGTTACTACATTTGTGCCATGATGTTGATCCATTGTTCAAACTTCAAACAAAACAGGAGAACACAGAGTTCATTCAGTCTTTTTTTTTTTTTTAAATCTTCTTATTCACATTGATTGTCTGTAAATTCCTGAAAGTTGTGGTTGTTCGTCTACTTCAGAACTTGAGTCTTGTACCAGAACTTACACACTCGTTTTGCGTATCTGGCTTATTTATGTGCAGAATCTTGGTTCCTGAAGAGATGTACTGTGACTTCAAAGGAAATCCCTAATTAGTAGACTCTTCGGACATTCTTGTTAGGGGGAGGGAGGGGGGCAGTGGGTCTATTCATTTTGTCTTCCACAATAGGGCCCCTGAGCCCACAAAGGGATATGTTTCAGTCATCACATTAGTATTCATTCATTATAATGCATGTTTTTAGGTAAGTAGAAAAGTTGTACCCCACCAGGGCATCATATGATCGATAAACACCCTGAGACACAAAGAGCCATCATGCGGATGAGGATCACCCGTGGAATGCATGTGTATTTTTTTTTTTAGATTGTTTACATGTTAATTAATTTTTGTCTTTTCTATTACTTATTTAGCTTACACTAGTTTTCTTCTTATGAGACTACTGTATTTAATTCTTACACAAATGTGTAAGCATAAATTAAATTTTGCTTTGTGTCATTCATCTATTAGCTTTATTTTATAAAGAAATTTTTTTAAAAAGTCAGTAGTACCTCAGAATTTGAACATAATTCGTTCTAAAACGGCACTTGAATTCTAAATTGTTGGACTTCCGAAGCAATTTTCCCATTGAAAAAAAAAAATGGAAAATAAATATAGCTGCAGAGGCCAACAAACTCAAATTTTTACTTTTTTTTCCCCTTACAAATACAGAAGACTGTTAGAATAGTAACACAAGATGATCATATTTCAACAAAAACAAAACAAAAAAAAAATTACAAGAAAGAAAGAAAGAAAAAAAGAAAGAAAGAAACACTATATTTACTGCACCTTGATTTAAAAAAATGCCCACACAGCACGTAGAAGTAAGAGCAAAAAGTGTGTCACCTTCCATGATAATATAAGGAATTCTTTCTGGTGTTTCACATCGTAGACTCACCACCGTAGAGGCTTTGAAGTCACTTATATTTTGTTGAGAGAGGCATATCAAAGTTCTCTGATTTTTACAACTATTTTAAATTTTATTTTCAATGTTTGGTTAAGACACCTGTTAACCAGGGCTCTGTCAGAGTGCCACCTCTCATTGAACTTCCTGGATTTTCAACATGGCCAAAAGATCTTAGATTTCAGCAGTTCTAAATCCTTCCAACTTATCCTTCCTCCCCTAAAGGAATTTCTTCTACAATTTCTTCCTTCTGCTGTTGGTGAAGATGCTGTAAAAGTCTTTCTTGCAGGTTAAGCTGCTTATAGTAAATGGAGTTATAGTCCTGCTTTTTAATTTAATTGTCAGGTGCATTTTATTTTCAGTCGAACATAAACATAATACAGGTTAGGGGCTTGTTGAAACAATAAATTCAAAAAAAAAAAAAGAATTGACATCTTTCTATAATGCATTACACAAAAGTTAAGTGCGATTTCCGCTATAAATAAGCAGATTTAGTAGTAACCAAGAGGTTACATAATACATTTCCATTAATTTATCGAGGGGAGGTTGTTGCAAGCCTGGCAAGCTGCAACACCTAGGTCCAAGTCCAAGTCCTTTTGAGAAAAAAAATAAAATCTCGACCACGTTCAGACTGCTGCTAGCTAGCCTAGGCTGCTAACAGTCTCCGCCTATATTTGTGGTCTGGGTTATTTGCGTCACTTTCGTGACTGAATACTGGTGTTTGTGCCATTTCTGGCTTAATGTTTCCATCCGAATCAAACCGCTCGTCCTGATGTCACTGGTGCATGTCTTCCTTCTTCATTCTTGGTGTTTCCTGTTTGTTCTGTCTCCCTTTGATCTGGCTAGGCGTATCTCGAAGGAGAGCGAGCTTCCAAACACAACGACCTTTCGGCCACCATTTATTGTTTTAAAATTTTGAGTATTTTAATTTTGCCAAAAAGTACTGAAAACAGTTTTTGAATGTGAATAGTTCCGAGATGTGAAAATTTTCGCGTGTGACCATAGTGGTCTTATAGGTGTCTTCCTGTAATATGAACGGGTTAGTCATGTAATGGATATGTGTGTGAGAGTTTGTGTGGAGTCTTAAGTGGGTCCAGTCGTCATTTGTTATTATGTGATCGGGTTGTGTTGATAGCTAAGCTCCGGTGTACGTAAATACCATATAACCGGACCGTCCAGCTCACGCTTTGAGATCCAAATGATCGGCGATAAGAATTGTTGTGGCATGTTGGGCAACGAACTCAAGTGCTCTCTGTGGGAATGGGTTGGGGGGTTAAACTCATAGTGCATCCGAAAGAGTCAGGGGAAGGTGGGGGAAGGGGAGCGGGAGGCCATTCAGTCAATTCTCGTCGTTGCCGTCTTGCTGGATTCTAGCGTGGCTTTTTGCCGGGACTATGTGTATCACGTTACCAACCTTTGCTATCATCCCAGTGATGGGTGGTATTGGAGGTTATGCGTTCTAGTCCTGTCATTATCGAGTAACTTGTATTCCCTATTTGCTGTCAGTAATATTTTGTTATGAGTCCTGTCGGTCATGTGCATGTTGTATGCATGCTGTGGAGTGGGATGGTTTTGTTTATGAATACCGGAGTATATGGACGCACCCAACTAGGTGTATGCGTACATGCACTCGAGTACTCATACATGCAGACACCTCTTAATGTTCTAAATATATGAAAAGTTAGCGGATGTCCTAGAAACACCATTCAAGTTTATTTTAAGCGGTACATCGCACCTTTACATCTAAAAAAATCTGCCTGGCGGTTTCCCCGTTCAGTCTGGATTACCGATGTAATATCCTTCGGGCAGCCAGGCTGGGCATTTGGGAGACCGACCCGAAAACGAAAATGCACTAAAGATTATGGCACTTTACCTGCACTTAATCATCTCTGAATATGGATCGGGGTTACCCACTGTCTCAAAGAGTCAGCTAGTCAAACTGGAGCGTATACAGAATAAAGCTATGCGGCTGATCCAGAGTTGTACAAGAAACACCCCAATTGTGTGCATGCGATACATGCTTGCATTGCAGACTATTGTAGGTTAGTTGCGTATCCTTTACAGGACGTTGCAGAACCAACCCTAACAGCCCCTGGCTGTTGTGTGGTTTCTCTAGGCAAATTTACGTCCAGTAGTTTTCCATTGCCTCTGGACGGTCGGCTTTCTTGATACCACTGTCGAAACCAAAGCAAGGCGCGTGGCTCGCAGCTGGGATCGAACCCGGCATCCCGGCATTACGAAGCGTTCGCATCGACTTAGCCACAGAGCCGACTGTCGACTATTGTAGATAGGCTAAAAGTGCTGCAGGCTAAGTCAGAGTAGCTGCAGACAGGGAATACCCTCTGTATGAAGCCTTGGCTGCATGCAAGGGTCAGAGGCCGAAAAGGGGTAAATGGTGGATGGCTCAAGCAGAAGACATAATAAGCAGCAAGACAAGTATGCATGCTGGAGAACATCGGGCGAGGAGAGGAGTGGGTCAATAGCATACTTTTGATCTTTTCTCCAGGCTATGCCGGTGTGATGGTTAATGAACAGGCAGACAGATTGGCTGAATCTACAAAACTGGGTGGTAATTGATACAATACTTGTAAATTTTACCCTGATCTCCCCATTTACACACCGCTAGACACTAGCTCTGATTGGACGACCTACTGACCACCTCACTTCTGATAGGTCGGCCTCAAGCGATCCGACTTTCAAACAAGGTCACAGAGATATTTATCACTCGCGCTCATATCGCGTGTTGTATATTTCACCATGCTTTTAACACTTCTAAAACATTTGAATACTGGGTCTAACACAGGACACCCCCCCCCCCCCCCCCCCCCCACGATAGTGACACAATTTGTGTCACAGGCCGCCTCTCTCTCGGAAATAAAAACGTAAATGCCAGACAACAACAGACTGCGACACCCATAACCTCGACCGTGGTAGATTAGTCCAACCAACTTATCAATGGAGTTGACCTACAACCGGTGGTGTGTAATTGGGGAGACCATCGTATAAATAACCATGAGTTGCAAAGACTTTATCCCATTTAAGAAAATGTTTAAAGATTTTACACCCGGAAAGGAACACGCTGTATCTTCCACTGGTTCCAGTGAGAATGACAGGGAAGAATTCAATCTAGAGCTTTTGATGTGAAGTGAGTACAATGTTATACTTTATTTGGCATTTTCTGGCATATATTGGGTAATGGTTTGGCATAAAATGAACTTTTTTATCTGGCAACCCTGCCACACAGCCTCTTTACCATTATCAGAACACTTGAACTTGAGGGTTCAATTCTCAGTCCAAAAAAAAGGAACTCTTTCCAGCACATCATAGCAGTGGTAGAAATGTAAGTAAGAGATGCTAATCCTTTTATTTCTTGCCTTTCAACATGCACACAGGCGTATCATCAATATATTCCTTGCTAAACGGTAAGCGTTGATGTCCCTCCACAGATGAAGTTTCATTGCAGTTCTAAATCAATTATATTGATTAAATTCCTACAGGTCACCGTCTTGGGCTTTTCAGCATAATTTCTTGCTGTCTGTCTCCACTGACCCCCCCCCCCCCCTTTGACCCCCCCTCCCCCCCCAATCCCAGTTGTCCTTTTAATCGACAGAGAGGATACATGGGAAAGCGAGGAGGGAGAGACGAAGTAAAGTGGGAGACTATCAAACACATATTGAGCATGGAACAAATAATACCACTGACCTGCTCTGTTGAAGTCGATGGCAAACACTTTCCCTGCATCATCTTCAGGCACCACTGTCCTGTTGAATGTTCCTGCCAGCTTGTTATTGCTCAGACCGGCGTTATAACACAAGGCTCTAGAAGACAAATAACAATTGCAATATGACAGGAAACATGAGAATGTTGGTCTATTCACTGAAACAGGATACCGAAGGGAAAAAAAAACGTGGCTAGACAGCGCTTTTTCCATGCGCGCTTTCAAAGTGATTCCATGAACATGCTTAAGAAGATAGAGACAGGATGGATTCGAAGTTGTTGGGGAAATCTCTTCTGATAGGAATTACTTTTATTTGTGTGCCAGGACACTCAGGTGTAAGAGGGAATGAACGAGCGGATTGGCTTGCTGGCAGGGCCATGTAAGTACAGGAAAAGCAATGGACCGGGCCGACATTCTCAATGCTCTCAAGAAGGCAGGACAAGAAGATCATTTAGGTGACGACGTCGAATTGGCAGTACTCAAAAGACTACAAGAACTTCAGGTCAAAAGAGGTGTCGCCAAACATGAGCACTATACTGGTAGCCAAAGAAGAATAGTAAACCAACATAAAACTGGTGTTATCGGTCATCATACGCTGAATGAGATACTGAAGACGGGACCCGAGCGCTTATGGACTTGTCCGGTGTGCAGTAGAGATAATTTGTTGATTAACTAACTAAACTAACTGTTAAAAAACTCCTATATTGATCTCTATTATCGTTAATTGTTTACTCTTATGGTCACGATATCTTTAAAGTATCGACAGTATGAAAAATGCCACCCTGGCAAACAGCTCTTTGACTTAGAAATACCAGCTGTACACTCTAGTAAATATAAGATGACTTAAAGGTGAATCAGTCGACTTCATTCCACCATTCTTGTCCATCCCAAGACGTACACAGATCGTGGATGGCAGATGGTCCATCCCTGGCTGGGTCACTCTCTCTCTCTCTCTCTCTCTCTCTCTCTCTCTCTCTCTCTCTCTCTCTCTCTCTCTCTGCAGAGCATCATCCTCAAGTGCCTTGCCGACTAGAGTGGACGATCATGCCTCTCCACAGCCTGTGTATCAGTTCATGTGTTGACACCCCTCCATACCAGGACAAAATGCCGTCAAAAATCCTCTGTCTCTCTTTCCACAGATCTTTCCAGAGTCACAACATTTTCCATTTTCCCTCTCCTCATAACATGACCTGTCTCTTTCTGATGTTTTTAGATAAGTTGTTTCTGAGGCACACGCCTTTTTTTCAAAAAATAATCTGGGTTGCACTTCTTAGCTCTCCATGGAATTCTAAGGATTCTTCTGTAAAACCACATCTTGGAGATATTGTCAAGATATTCTCTCGCTTGTTTATTAATTGTTCAGAATTCACAGCCGTATGTTAAAACCGGCTCTATAAAGCTTGCGAGAATTCTTTTCCTAACCTCCAGTGACATTGTTATTTATTGTACAAAATGTTCTTTATTTTGTAAAATGCAGTTTTTGTCCTATTCTGGTCTTTATCTCCGTGATAAATCTTTCATCGGATGTTCTCCATGTGCCTGGATACTTAAATTTTTGTATTTGTCTCAAAATAATGTCTTTGACTTTTAATACAATACATTTAGGCACTTTTTTTCCCCTGGAAATTACCCTGATGTCTGTCTTCCGATTATTAAAACTGACCCATTTTATTGCTTTCTGCCACCACCGTTTTTACTTCTATAGTTCTTTCCAAAAGAGTCCTGAGGATGTATGGTATGTTGTACCTTTTCTTTCTACAAATCCACACTGTTCTTCACTAATTTATGGTTTAAACTTGTTTCTTATTCTTCTCATAATAATTCTCAGTAACATTTTTGTCACATGACTCATAGGACTTATGGTGCAATAGTCTTCACATTTTAAAGTGCCCGGTTTTTTTGGCAGAGCAATAAATATAGATTTTAATAAGCCATTATGAATGTACACACTATTATAAATTTCATTTAACAGTTTTGCTATAATTTCAATTCCAAAAAATCCCAAAGCTTCAATTTCCAATGTTTGGCCCATGTGCCTTTCCTTTCTCAATGTGATGCAATGCATCCTCAACCTCTAAAGCCAGTATTGGTGGACCTTCGCTGTTGTCCTGCAAATATACTTCTATTACAATCATACAGATCCCACAAGTACTCTATTCTGTTCACTATTTATTTATGTTTAGTAGAATATTTCTCTTTTTCGTTCCTTTTCTTTCTTCTCTGATCCAACATCTGCAGAATTTCATTTGTCATATATATAAATATATTTATATATTTGCAACTCCATGTGTTGGAGGAATAAATTCTTTTGATGTCTGATGAATTGACTCGCGCAGCAAATCCTATTGTTCGTCAATAGTTTGTATTATTTCCATGGCGTTATATCTATTTTGCACTGTGACAATGTGCTACTCCTTAATTTTGTTGTCCTTGTTAAATATTCCAAAATGCAACTTGATGTTCTATGGTTTCCTTTTTATAATCTTTAGTTTTATTCTAAACTTTCCTATAACTGCAACATGATCACGATAGCAGTCATTTGCTCCAATTAAACTGCTCCTGAATCTTTTTGAAATCAATATATAAAAAATCAATCTGGGGGCAACAATTAAGATAACATAAGAATGACCACAAGTGACAATTTTGCAGAATTTATGCCTTACGCGTTTGGCCAAAATAATATTTGCAAAAAGGTTGCCATTTTAGTCTCAGTCTATCATTTCACACTTGACGAGATACTCTAGATGATAAATTGGACATTTTGGAGCTCATAGGTGACAGAAAAATAGATAAGATAAAAGTGAAAAACAAATTTTACGAAAAATTGTTCCTAACAACTTGTTTGTGTCCTACCACTAAATATTGAGTCCCAGATAATTATTTTACACATAAATAGACACGCTAGATGCAGAGTAGTTAAACTGGATGTCTGATTTGGCACATGTGACGTCAAGCCTGATTTCCCTTCTATCATCATCATCAGGTGCCTTGCCGACTGGCGTGGACGATCATGCCTTTCCATAATCCTCGATCTACTGCAGCATGTATCAGTTCGTATGCCGACACACCTCCATACCATGCAACAAGACTGTCAAGAATCTTCTCTCGTTGTCTTCCTCTATCCCTCCTTCTACAGATCTTTCCAGTGGTCACACCATGTTCTATTTTTTTCCTTTTATAGCACTTTAAAAACAAAGAAAAAAATAAACATTGACTACGATATAAGTGATTTTAACTTGGATCAAGATGTCTAAATGTACAGAACAAGTTACTTCTGGCGGGTGGGTACCTGCTGTTCTCCCTGTCAGCAACACAGACCAGGTCCAGCTCCTCCACCAGGGTCAGGCTGTGAGGGATGTTGAAGGTAAACGGAGTCAACTCGTCTGGAGGATGGATAATTTACACAAATGTTACAAACGATGGACAATTTACATAAATGTTACAAAAGATAGACAGTTTACACAAATGTTAAAAACCTAACGAAACGAAAGTATATTGCATTATATTTCTACGCTACTGATAAATCGGATCAATCAATCAGGTACCGTCTACACAGTGAAGATTGGCTGCAGTTGATCTCCAACACCCTCTGTCTCTTGTCCTGGTTGTACACTCTCTGAGACTGCTGCCAGTCCATGTCTTTATGCTGTCCTCCCACTTGTATCGTTGCCTACCTCTTGCTCTCTTGCATTCGACCTTTCCCTACAGTACAGTTATTAAAAGTGTATTATGTCTTTTAATGTGGCCAGAGTATTTCAATTGTCTCTTTTTTATTTCTCTTCAGTAATTTTCTTTTTAACTGTAGCATTTCAAGAACCTCCGTATTGAACTGTTTTTGTTCCATGAAATACAACCTATTCTTCTGTATACCTAGAACGGATTTATCGGGACGAATCGGGTACATAGTGCTAGACACACATTTGTTT